CACAAAATAATAGGTTTGCTGTAATCATTCAAAAGCATTATGCTGAAGGTCAACTCATTTGTAGCTACAAAAAAAATCAAAAGTTACAGTGTGACCTAATCAAAGGCATAAGCTGTTTGTGAAAATACGAATTGTTATCCTAATTATCTCTATTTGTGTTTGTTTAGTTAGATAAACAGATGAAACATTTTTCATCCAGATGTGACGATCTCAGTGCTGTCATTTACCTTTCAAGGATCATAGAGTTTTGCTTTTAACACATTCCCCGGAGTACCTACATGTTTTCATTATGAGCCAGTAGTTGAGAAAACATGTCAGATGTTAAATTCAAAATCCACCATGCAGGAAACATGCAGAAATTTAACAACTGTTTTTGGAAGAAATGACTTCAGTCAGCTTACATAAAATCTTAAATGATTTGCCAATAAACTTTAATTAGCATGTACATTGCATTCAGTTTCAAATACTAAATGGTTTCTGCTTAACAACTTATTGTCAAAATGCATTAGCCTGAGGCTAAAATAGCTATGTCCTGTAATATAAAGAAGTTTAGGAATGAAAATGTAGATTTTGTAATGACAATCAGGGTATAAAACAACAGGAATAAAACCATTTGTCTTTAGCACTTAAATACTATCCATATGCAATACCTTACAAGAAACTGCAGGCATAAAATGAGGTGTTTAATGTAATAACTTCTTACATGGCTGTTCAGTGATGTGCGCAGCCACATAGACTGTAAATGTTAACATTATCAGAATCACAGTCAATTCTGCACATGAAAATAAAAAATATAGGGGGAGTGCAAAGGTTAAAAGATTTCAAACTGTTTTCTCATTAAATGATTCTACTTTGAGGATTATTAGTTTTAATAGCAAGAAAATTATTTATTTATATAAAAAATGAAAAAGACATAGTGATTGAAAATTTAAAAAGTTCATAACGTGTAATGCCAAAAATAATTCATCTTACTTCTTATATGAGTTCCTACTTAATGTATTTTCACATAACGAACTAGTAAAAAAGATTATTTCTACTTTTTATTGCTTTGTTTTTTGCCATGGGGGTCTCACTTGTAGATTTGGCTATCTTAAAACTTTCAATGCAGACCATATGACCTCAAACTCGGAGACTCACCTGACTCTGCCTCCAGAGTACACCCCTACCCCTGGTTCTTTGTATATTTACTTACTTCTTTATTTATTCTGTGTTGATAGACAGGTTCTTGCTGTGTAACCTAGGCTAGTCTCAAAGTTATGATCCTCCTGCCTCAGCCCCTAGAGTACTAACACTGTATGTGTCACTGTACTGGTTCTGATTTCTACCTTTTAAATTTTCCTTTTTCTCTGACACAGTTGTTCAGTTTAATATTATATGTCGACAATTATAGAGCTGATGCATTTGAGATTATTTACTTTTTGATTTTTGTTTAGTAGAGGTAGGCATTAGGCTAACACAAAAAACAAGATTATATGCTATTTGAACTCTAACCTTCTTTAATTTGCAAACAGACAATTGTATGACAAATTCTAAAATACACAAAAGTACCTAGAATGTCATACATACTTCATATATAAATTATTAATTAGTACAAAAACAAGTATAGAGTAACATATACTCATCTAAGAATGTCAGTGTTAAACCAAGATGGTGGCACATGCCTCTAATGCCAACCCTTGAAAGGTGGAGAGTGGGATTAGGGGTTCAAATCCACTCTAGACTACACAGGGAACTCAAGGTTAGCCTAAGCAACATGAAACCTTGCCTTAAAAAACATCAGCCTTTGACTTTACCTCATAACTAAATAGACACTTAAGAATGCATTGTAATGAGTATCAGAAATGTTTCATTTGATTAACCACAGGTAGAAGATAGATTTGGTCAGTTCTTATGTGGCTCTCCTAGTCTCCCTTTCACCTGTGAAACACGGCTTCTGGGATGGCTGTCTCTGGTGGTGTCATCAATGTGTTCAATAACAGGAAAGTGAGTAAATTGTCAGCTCCAGTGGAAGTGAAGATGTAAGAAGGCAGTGCCTGTCTGCCTGAGTGAGGGCAGAAACACCATCTTGAAGGAGGGCAACCAGACCCTAATAGGCAATGTTGAACAAGCTGATGACTGGTACCCATCATTGTCAAGATGCAGCCAGATAAGAACTATTGCCATGATGTAACCTGCTGAGACCCAACAGGGGGACAGGAGGACCCAGTGTTCACCTCTAGGCTCCTGAGAGTGAACCCTTAAGAACAAAATGATCTTGCCAGCTCCAATAATTCCATCAAAAAGAAGCTGACATATATCAAACCTGAAGTAAAAGCAAACTGTTGGAGGAGGCCAAGGACCACTGCATTCTGGCAGGAAAACTCACCAGCCATATTGTCATCTTCCTGAGTGGCAAGAATTTATTAGCTGCCTCTAGTCCCTTCCTGGAACATCTAGCAGTTACCAGACATGCTCTTGGATGTTGCAGGTTGTCACTTTCCTGCCAAATTTAGGAGTGACTGAGGGGATCCCAGCAAGGGAAGGGCAGCCCCATCACCCCAGTTGTCAAATGCACCACCACTCTGTGGATGGGGCCCTCTTCCCCGCATCCCTGATACTTCTACCTTTCCCAAACTGCTTCTGATCTTCTGATTGCTCTTGAGTGAAAAGCAGACAAAGTCCTCCATCCTGCGCATCTAGTTGGGGAGGGACTGTGTTTTTATGTCATCCCTATTCCCAATTTATCCTTCCCCATCTATCCCTCTCAATCCCATGCTGCAACGTTCCAGACAAAATAGTGACTCTGCTTGTCTGTTTAGTTTTGTGTGTAAATGGAGTGTTGTGTCACCTTCCCTGGTCAGCCTTCCCTTTCCCTTGGTCTCGGCCACACAATGGAGAAAAAGAAATCGCCAAGGGCACTTTGATTTAAAAGACAAAAGTAAACTAAAAAGGATAATTAATAAAACAAGATATAAAAAATTAAAATCTAATACTATTTTTGCATATTCATATTGGAAGAAAGTAAGTATAACAGTTAATTCTCACAAAATAATATCAATATAATTGAAACCACCCTTAGTGGAAAGAAACTGAGTAAAATGTAGTCGGTCGGTGGAATGCTGGTATTACTGAGATATGTGGTGTGAGTGTCACATGCAATTTGTTCTGCAAAGTACACAACCAGCAAGATATTTGACTCCATTTCCTTGACCATGATGAATAAACACTGCCATAGAAACTTTAAAGAGGTCTTTAATTTGGATAGAACCTTCACATGTACTGCTCAGTGGATTCTAATACTAGAAACTCTCTCACCATCAAAGTGGAACCTGTTAAAACAGTCATATTTTGGAATATCATAGCAAAGCTTACACTGTGTGTAAAGTTTATCATCACAACAATTTTTCATAGAAAAAAATTCTTAAATCTAAGGTTGTCAATCCACTCCTCTTTGAGTTTTTAGTCACTTAGAAACAGCAGCTAAGCATGAAAAAAAAAATCTCTTAAAAGCATTTGCTTTTACAGTTCATCCCAACAAGACAATTTGCTATTTACTTGTTTTACAGTTAATCTCCATGCTAAATCTGAAAGTGCATTCTCAGTAACAACTAGAATGGAAGAACATTGGGATAATAGCACGAGACGATAAGAGCAAGGAAAATGCTCATTTGAGTATATAATCTCTTTCACATATATGAGCTTTAAGTTGAAATGAAGTAGGTTAAAGGCTTCACAAAAACTTACCAAAGAGGATTTGTGTAAAACAAAAACTTACCAAAAGGACAGGAAGCCTTTCTAGACTCCAATCCCTATAGGCAAGCACTTTCTAACAGGAACTATATGCCTCTATAAAATTAAATAAATATTAATTTTTAGCTTAGTATTTGGTACAATTTTTAGCTAGCTGATAGGAAAATAAAGAACAATGTTCAAATGTAGTTAGTGGCCACCCTCAGTTAATTGGCAAAACAGAAATACTAGGCATTTATTTTTCTCTCCTAAATACATAACTAAATAACATACTGATGCTTTCCCTACTGCTAAATTTGACAACGTGAATTACTGTAGACTTATGGAATTAAAGAATTATTTCAAAGAATCCTGAGTATACTTTCTATACTCTATCCAGTGGTGATTATGCAGAATAAAGATGCATGGTAGAGTCAGTTCTAGGATCCTAGAGGATTGACTAATGCTGCATAAAGACCTACTCCCCCTCTCCGTTTGTTCGGATAGGATTAAACATGTAAGGCTGTGGGGAAACATATAAAAACACTTATTCAGTAATTTATTGCACCAGTATTATGAATAATAAAGATTCATGAGATGAAATTACATTTAGAATTTCAGAATAAAGCAAATGAGGTAACTGCATGGAATGTAAAAGTCAGGTAAGAATTTCTAGAAACTATAATGGTCTAAAGTATTCAGTTGTTACTGGCCAATGTCTTGCTTCTGCAATCATATCCTGAATTTCTACCATCTTATTGTGACTTTATTTTTACTTAAGTACTTAGATGATTATTTTCTACTCATTTACTTTTGGGCTTTTTAGACTTGTTGTGTGGCTTATAGTTCACACTGTAACGTTTCTATACATGTATATAATGTGTGGTAATCAGATCACAGTAGTTGGCATATCTATCACCTCCACATTTATCATTTCTTTGTGTTAATAACATCCAAAACCTACTAGTTCTTTCAAAGGATTTTATTAATTAATTGTTGATAATCACATTACACTGTGGTGCTATAGAATATTAGAAATTGTTCTCCAGTCCAATAGTCTCCATGAACACATCCTCTCCTCATTTCCTGCCCACACTCTTACCAGCCTCTGCCAGCCAATGGTCTACTTTCATGAGATCAACTTTTTAGTTTCCACATATAAGTGAGAAAATGCAGAATTTATCCTTTAGGGCCTGGCATTTGACTTAACATCTTCCAGTTCTAGCCATAATACTGTAAACAGAATTTTCATTGTGTACAGCAAATATATTCATATGGGTTTTGTGTGTGTGTGTGTGTGTGTGTTTATACCACATTATCTTCATCACTCATTCACCAATGACTTCCTAGTCTTGTACCAAATATTGGGTATCATAATGTTGCCATGAATATGTGAGTACAGATACTCACATATTAACACACTCACTGGCCTCAACTCCTTTAGATATCTACCAGTAATAAGATTTGAGGATAATATGACAGCTCTATGTCTAGTTTCCCTCTGGAATTCCCCTGCTGTACTTGTTTTCATCTCCACCAACAGCAAAAGTTCTCCTTTCTCTGACTCCTTACTAGAATTTATGTTATGCCTTTTAATAGAAGACTGTTTAACTGAGGTGAAACGGTATCTCATAGTCGGTTTAAATTGTATATCCTAGTATACATTGTGCATACTGCTAGGTAGTTTGTGCCATTTACATAATTTAATTTCCTATATGACAATTTTAACACAATAACCTCATTTACAGATGAAGTTGATGTGTATACTTAAGGTGATCTCACAGCTAGTAAGCTACTGAACAGCAAATCCAGCATTTAAGTGGCCTTCCCTTCATGCTCATATTTTAAATGCACAATATTGCATTACAGGAAATATTTGGTCCCATCAAATTATTATTTGCAGACTGATAATTTACTTCAAGTACTCTCCTTCACACATAGAAGCATGCGATTGTGAATGTTTTCTATCAAAGGTGGACAGCAGTGACTGGACGTGACAGGTACAATTTTGGATCAGCCTGTCACACTGGAAACTTTACAGTGACTTTGATGGGCATACCAAAGTTTTATCCCCCACCCACATCAAATATAGAGACATAGTAAAGAAGTTATTTTACTATAGTCAAGAAATATTTTGACTTAGAAATGAAAACGTTCATTTATGACAAACAACTTCAGTGAACAAACTTCACTGAAAGCATGGAACATGACTCACTTAGTAGTAGCTGCTACTATATTCATTTCTGTGGTTAGTGTATTTTCTGAGTGGAACTACATTGAAAGCCATGTAATCAAGAATATCGCTTGGAAAACATGAGTTCTGAATGTATGTATCATTTGTGATTTGAACAGTTATTAGCAGCAAATTTAAATCACCCGATATTGATTCACAGTCCAACTAGGATTATCATTGGGACTGGAGTCTAACAAAATGAAGACCCTCCTTCATCTCGGAGGCATGCTCAGATAACTTATTCTGTATGTCTTCTGCTTTTCATTGATCTACTTCTGTGGCTACTATTTCCTTGGTGGGTATGCTAATGCCTCCAATTAACCTAACTCAAATGTTGTAGCTGAAAAATTAACCTGTTCTCCAAAGACAGCTTTGCACGTTTGTGCTGTGTTGATGTTGAATTTCAGCAATAAAAAGAAAGTCTCATCTTGTGGGTTTTTATTTAGATTTCTTGATGATACCTCTCTATATAAAGCCATAAGAACTTAAAAAAATCACCAAGTGTGATGCTACATGCCTTTAATTCCAGCACTGGGGAGGCAGTGACTATTTAGTGAGTTCTAGGCCAGCCAGAAATATAGAGTCTCAAAATTTAAAATTAATTTCAGGGTAATGTAAAGCACACTAAAATATCTCACATATTAGCATAACTAATAGCAGCTGTTTCCTCCCACTTAGGATAGGCCCTTGGGTTAATCATAGGTACCAAGGACTGAACCTAGGGCCATACTCACTTTTAGGGACACAGTCTGGCACTACCTTACATCCCCAGCCCTAGTCAATCATTTAATCACATACATCTTGATTGCTAGAATAAAGCTCTACAAATCCCTTCTATGAGAAGAGTTGTTTCATAATTGTACAAGTCCTATCTCAAGCAAGAACTGCTGGTCTGGAAAGAGGAGAGGCCCAGAAAACACATAAGCTTGCATGCAGCATAAGGAAATAGTGCTGTGCCCTGGGCTCACCATGAGTGACAGAGCTAAGTTTTCAGGTGTGTGTCCTACAAGCACAAAGCCCAGAACTGCAGTACTTTTGTTCTCTTTTCCAACTAGACAAATACCAAGAGAAGTATTGACCCACACACAAAACCTGTATTGTCAAGGGGCAGCAAACACACCGATCAGATGAATTTGTCCATTGCAGTTTTCCAGGCTTGGACTGGTTAAGCCAAGCCTCAATTGATTCGCTGAGACCAAAACAACTTTATTCATTTATTACTATTTTATCTTTATTTATGGAAATAGAAGATATGAAGATGACCAGGAATTCAGGCATGGAAGAGATCTGAATGCACATAAAGTTTTATCTAGTCCTTCTGAAACTGGAGGATACTGAAAGGGATCAATTTTTCTTTTTTTTTTTTCTTTTGGTCTGAAAAACGATGAAGCAATCTCTCCAGGGACATATGATGAGTGCAGGGAGTGCTGTTTTAAACGTGGAAATTTCTGCTTGGTGTCAGCACACTGGCGGTTAGACATCCTCTGATGTGAAGTGAATGATCACGCCAGCCTTCCTTGTACCAAGTTCTGAAAATAATAGCATAGGAAGAACAAGAAAACAGACGATCAGTACAGAAAAAGCAAAGTTTCTTAATAAAAACAAGATTACACAAGCAAAAATGGTTTTAAAGGTATAGTAATACTGTATTTGGAAAATATTAATTTCCCATTGAACTTTGTTGTTACATTATGCTTAACAAACATAAGAAACCTTACTCTCTAAATCTGATGACTAAATCCCTTTTAATGTATTTAATCATTAAACACAAAGATTAAGTTTTCTTATGTTTAATTACACACAAGGAATCGCCCCTATTGTTCTGGGGATTTATTTATTTTTCCACATTTTAGTGAATTTTCCTCATTGCTTATCAATTAAATTATTTCTATGAATGAAACAGAATTTGTAAAATATAATGTAGCTACCCTGAGAAACAGTGAGAGAATAATTCTTGATGAAATGTGCTACAGGTCCTAAAAATTCAACTATTCTACTGTAAATGATCAAGTGTCAGCAAACCAAACTCATCAGCTGGCATATAGTATCATGTGATTTTTTTTCCACTTTCTGATCCTTAGTAACAAATTGAACCATATTCATAGAGAGAAACCAGAAGAAATAAAAATGAGTGTGTGTGTGTGTGTGTGTGTGTGTGTGTGTGTGTGTGTGTGTGTACATTCCAAAAGAAAAAACTTAAGAAATATTCTAAGTGAGAGGTAATTACTATCTGGTAGAATGAATGAATGCGGGAAAGTCAAGGAATAAAAACTTACTTATATATCCACTACTACCTACAGATTGTGATACCAGTCCAAATGACACACATTTAGACAACTTTTAGTTAGTGAGTTTTAAAAAAAAGAAAACACCAAAACTTAGTAGTGCATATATTAAAAAGTAAACAATAGGCCATTAATAGTTTCCTAGCACTCATAAAATAACAATAAACCTCAAGAAATAAGCTCAAGCTTGATTATAACAATGCAAGAAGTGTTCATCTCAGAGATCATCTCATTAGCCCTATGTAGTCAAATTCTGAGAAAAAAGGATTTGACCTCTAAGTCCTAAGAACTTATTATAACCAGATTCTAAATCAGTTATGTAACTGAAATTATGACTGTGATTTTCTAAAACTAGAAAATCAAAAAGGAAACTGGAGTACACCAAACTTACTGTCTTGCTTTAAAGTTACTGGAAATGCTGTATTTATAGGTCATTATTTCACCGGAGTATTTAGTTTGTTTTGTCTGTAACAATTATACGGATTAATACACAAAGATGAAGACCCATACAAGTTCTTTTTCATTTTTCAATATGAAAAAAAAAAATCTTAGATCCTGAGAATTACCTTTCTTGTTTTATAGGTCGCACCTGTACTCCTGCTACACATCTGTGGAGCATGGTATCAGCCAACAGTTAATCAAGGATCACTTCCTTTCAAAGTGACTGATGAGCCACTGTTACAGCAATTTACAAAAATAACTTTTAGAAAAGGTGATTCAAGAGTTTCAGACACATCTCACTTGTCCTGAAAGTTCCATGCTTGAGAGTTCATGTTTCAATAATAAGTAAATGGAAATTTTTAAAGGGTCTGCTAAGTTTTAGAAATAAAATGTCAGTGGCGATATTTTCATTTAGATTACAAGCAGTGACAATGCCCAAGATTGGCTTTTAAAACTGTTAATGAGCCCTGGCAATGTGAAAAAGATATAGATTAGGTAGACGCAATGAGGGATGATTAAAGAGTGCAAACACTGAAAGGTGCTGGAGAAACTCTTCTCAGAAAGAGTGTAATTAGTATCTGATAAAAGTACTTGGCAGATAAGATTTCTGAAGAAGAAAGGTTAAGACAAACAAATATTTTATGACAAAGCTGTTTAAGTTTTCCCCTTTGGTTTTCTTAATAGCCTCAACAGTACACTGAAGCTCTATACATAAATGATGTTTGTGGGGCACTTGATGCAAATCTACCAGACAATTGGGTGTTTCAATTGCCAGACACGGCATGCAGAAAATGTGCTAAAACATCTTCTTCCATTTTTGGTGTACATTTCTTTGTTGATTTATGTAATGTGGCTAATAATATGCAACATATCCTGGTTTTAAACAAACAAATGAACTTTTTAAAAAGCTTTCCATAAGTTGCTAAGCAACTCCAAAGACACATTTTATTAATTTAACAAATAGCATTCCGATGACAAGTCCCTAAAGATGATTTCTACCTCTGCTGTTATAAAAAGGAGAAAATCCAAGCAGATTTCTTTCTGAGTTTCCCCCTGGAAGGCCTCAGGGCAAGTCAAAGATGTTGCCTTCTTCAAATAAATTTTTCTTAGTATTTTTTTTCAATTGAAAATGTTACTATAGTAAAATTTAGATCCAAGGACTCATGGTGTAGCTGTCCAAAGTATTCTCATGCCTGAAGATTATTTAACCTGGGTTCCACTGACAAGCTGGATAGGAGAATTTGAGGCTGTAGCGGACTAAGCTATGAATCCTAGAGTACTTAGTAGCATCCCACAACTCTACCTACAAGATGCCAATGGTGGACCCCAGTAGTGCTATAATTAAAATTTTCTATAGGCAAAACCAAGATAACTGGAGAAGGTAGATACAGTAGAAGGGCCACTCATTTACAGTTGAAAAACACTTCAAATAAGTGTGGATATAAATGCTAAATATAAAATACATCTTGAGCATCGATGGTGATGGCAATATCTCAAGATTTATCACCACTCATCAATACCTATCATCTCCATCACCACGGTAATGAAGAGTAAGTGGGTATGTAATAGTGACTCTAGGGTGTACAGCTCTCTCCATGTATTCAAGGCTTATGGTTGAGTTTATCATTTCAGTGTAATTTTCATTATATACAAACCGGAGTAAGAGGCTCAGAGGTTATTGTAATGATAATCCTTTTCTAGCAACATCTTGTTTCAGAATTTCACCCGAATCTTTTCTTATTCTTACATTTTCTCTGCATTCAATATTTAACTAGAATGATTTCCAAGTAAGTAGCAAGGGATCTAAGAGATAGCCTACCAGTTAAGAGCAAATGCTGCTCTTCCAGAGAACCCATGTTCAGTTCTCAGCACTCCTGTTATTTGTAGGTGGCTTGCAGCTGCGTCTAACCCCAACTTCTGAGGGATCTGATGCCTCTGGCTTCCTCAGACACTTCCAGTCACATGCACATACCCCTCCCACACATACACATAATTGTTTAAGTTTTATAAAAATGTATCAATTGCAACGGTCTTGTAAGGTTTCCCACACTTTCCTCAGGCGTTTTTGATATCTTCTACTTAATACCATCTTTATCCCTCACACACAAACTGCTTGTATGCTCCCAATTTCACAAGTGGTTTATGAAAGACAATTTCATTTTCCCCATGAAAGTTTTCTTAATTAATCCTTCCTTTATGGACAATATCATATTTCTCTTAAAAGAATGGCATGACTACAAATTAATGTGAGGCAATCATTTTCTGACTGTCTTCAATATGCCAGACACTGAACATGGCTTAGTAGCTATTTCTATCAATTTACATTTCATTATTTATGCCCAACTAGATTGTAAGTTCCCAGAGGATAGGAACAGGTTTTATCTGTATCCCTCTGGCACCTTTTAATAATGATGCTAATAAATATGCTTTACATTTGATTAGCAATTATAACCTTTCAAATTAGTTTCATGGTTATTAGCTCATTGGTTATATAATTTCACTATTTTACAATCAATGAGAGTGGGGCATAAAATTCTCTAGGGACTAGTGCTTGGAATACACAACTGGTACTCAGTAGAATATGTATTCAATAAATACAGACTGCGTGAATTCAGTCTCACAAACCTAAAATGGCTTGCCTGATTATAAAAAAAAATGTTTATGACATTCAAAAAATAAAAGTTGTTATAAAGGATAAGAATTGTTGAACGGTGCAGAAGACACAACAAAGCGGTGAATCAGTTTAAAAAGTGTTCAATTAAAATAAGGCAGCAGGAGAACGTGAGAAATCTTGTAGTTCCTACAAGAGATTAACTTCATTTTTGTAAGCTCTTCCTTCTTAAAGAGGTAAAGTTGTTTTTAAAAGACAATAGAAATGTAAAGGGAAAAGCCTTAAGATTAACTCCTACATTCTGAAAGTCACAGCATTTTACCTCATGTATATGAATAAGACCACAAAAAAAATATTTCTACAACTTTACCCACACACACACTGGGTGGGAGGGGGCATAGCTAGATAAATAACACCAATGTAAAACATACGTGTTTATTTGCCTTTCAGCCCAGTAGAAGGAAAAAAAATACCCTATGCCAAAGTCAGCTGATCTGAGGGCATCCAAGTCTAAGGAAGCCATCCTTTATCCAGCCACGGTGCCATTTACTGCGCAACTGCTAAGTGAAGACACTGGTCTAGGCCCTGGAGGGAGAGGTCCAAACCCTAGTTGCTGGTGTGAATCTGTGCCAACGGTGCAGAAAGGGGGCAAGTGAAAAAGATCTGAAAAACCAGAAATGATTTCCTTTTCATTGGGCCTTTTCTTTCAGCTTTTAGCTTTTTCCGCTCCCAAATTCAAGAAGTGAAGGCATTTAAAGAGAAACGAAAATAAAGAGAACTGAAGAGGAAAGGTTATGACATCCCCAGCCAGGAAGAAGACGCTCTCCGGCGTCGGAGCCATCCTTCAACCACGTGACTGGCCTGAGAGGAGAGCCGGGAGCGACCCCCTAGGCCTGGGAAGGCGCTGGCTGAGGGTCGGGTGAGGGCCTGCGGAGGAGGTGGGGACCCGCTCGGCGACAGTTGAAGAGGGCCCAGGTCCGGGGCGCCGCGGCAGGCCTGCACCCGACTGACTGCTGCGGGCTACCCAGGGCTACCCAGCGGCTCCCCTGTGCCGAGCCGGGCGAGCGCTGGAGCATCCCCCTGGCACTTCCTTCGCAGACAGCGCCGCGCTGGCTTGGCGAGCTGCGTCCGAGCTCGGGGAGCGGGGACTAGAGGTTGGTTGGGCCAGGCCCGAGGGACCTGGGACAGCACA